TCCCCCTTTCTCCCTCCTTTCTCCCTTCCCTTCCCCTTTTTCCTTCCTCCCTTCCATCCTTTCACAAATATCCAGCATGGACCACCATCTACTTTGGGATTTGCTACAACAGTGTAAGCTCAGCCCCTGCTCCAGGATCTCACATCTCAGGATAAAAAAATGACAGCCAGAAATTGACAAGGGGATGTGAGAGGGTCCGGAGGCCTCCTGGAAGGGGCAGTGGGACTGGTTTGAGGGCTGGTGGGTTGGAGTTGCTCCTGCTAAAGAGAGATGGGTGCAGGGGAGACAGCGGTAAAGCAGAGGTGAGAGCCGTGGCCGTGGTCAGGGCACTGGGCTGGTGCACTGGTGCTGCCTCCAGGTCCTGGGAAGTGGCCTCCCCAGCCCCAAACCTTAGATCTCTGCAAGCCCCACTGCCACCTGGTCTGGGGTCCACGGGGCTGCCCCTGGTCAGCCTGGGAGAAGGCGGCTATGGGGGGGCTTCCCGGGCCATCTGGGGCCTGGCCGGGCATCAGAGGGGGGCAGTGGCCTCGGAGGGGCTGACTCCCCGATGGAGGGCGGACTTCGAGCCTGGGCCTCTCAGCGGGGCATGGTCTCCAAGCCTGCTCTGCTCACAGTGCTGGCCTTGGGCTCTCTCCCAGCTGGGCTCCACCAAGGGCCTTCACCACAGGGGCCGGGAGAGGCCTGGCAGGGGCTGGTGCCCCCCACCCGAGTTGCTACTCCTGCCCCCTCCCCAGGCTCTGGTCAAAAAGCAGCTGCAAAACCATGGCAGAGGGAGGGGGCTGGGGGCACACGTGTCGTCCCTGTGTGCTCGGTGTGTGCACGTGCTGTGTACACGGCTGTGAGCGGGGATGTGTGTGTGGACGCAGAAGTGTGTAGGTGCCAGAGATGGAGCACAAGTGTGTCAGCGCTCGTGAGCAACTGTGCCAACACATCCTGTGAGTGTGCGGGGGGTGTGCACACGCGTGGGTACGAGGCAGGGCTGTGTGGTGTGCCCACCCGTGATGTGTGCGTGTCTGAGTGTGATTGCACGTGTGTAAGGCGTGGGGACATGTGTGTGCTTGTGGGATTGTGTTGGCCGTGACTGCATGCACGCATGAGTTACTGTAAGTGCAGGTCTATGCTCGCGTGTGTGCGCGTGCCCGTGAGTGTGTGCACAGGCCTCAGAAAGGCAGCCTGGGCCTCCCTCCCCAGGAGGGCCGGGGTCGGGCCTGCCGCAGCGCCATGAACCCCGCCCCAGGCTGCCCTGCCTGCCACCCCTGCCCGACCCGGGCCTCCCTCTCCCCCTGGCTGGTCGCGTATGGCTGCCTCCTCCAAGGGAGCATTTGTTTTCTCTCCAAGTCTATCCTTCTGTAATTGTTTCCATATATTTCCCTGGAATTGTAGCTTGAATCCGTGCCCGCCCGCTCCGCCCTCCCCGCACAAAGCTGAGCTCAGCCCCTGGAATGCAGGCGGGACCTGCGGTCAGGCAGCCGGGTGAGGACCCACTAAGCGCGGGTTCCAGAGCCCTCCAAGCCTTGCTCAGAAACGGAGCCTTCCGGGGGAGGCCAGGGCTCCAGGGCTTTCTTGTCTCCGGCTGATCCACACCTGGACCAAGGGGCCTGAGGTCCCAGCCCTACCCTGACCCTGCAGCCGCCCGAGCCCCCACTGGTCCTTCCTGATCCGCATCTCACTAGCAATGGATTCCCCATTCGTGCTAACACACTTTTAAAATGTTAATAGACTGTAAATTACTTTTCTTTTTATACTTCTTACAATAAGCGCTTCTCCTTGTAGCTGGCAGGGTGACGCCGCAGTCACGGGCTTGGTTTGATTACTGTCGAGATGAGATGGACTGGAGAGCTCATGCAGCTTTTATACAGACTATTTTATTTATAAGAATTTTCCTAATGTCAGATGGATGTGACATGCCTGCTCTCTTCTTGCCCACTTACGAGAGAAGAGGGGACTTGGGCACGGGTGGGTTCTGCCTTGCATTTCTTCACCCTGGAAACCCTAAAATGTACAGGGAGCGATAGTCTTCCAGGTCCTGCTTGCACACCTCTGCAGATGGAGAGCTCACCCCCTACCTGGCAGCAGGATTCAGATGCATGCTCTGACTCCACGTCCTGGATGTGGGAGGAAACCTCTCCTCTGTCCACTTGCGGCCTCGCCGGGATGTAGAGGTGGCCCCACCCCTGCTGTGGCTCCTCTTTTCTCTAGGGGAAGGGGCCGCTCTTCGCATCACTTCACTTTCTTACTTGCTCTCTGAAATATATCAGAATTCTTTTCTCCAAGATCAGACAGACTATTTTAACTTGTTCATTACTAAGGCTGAGTATTTTCCATGACTTCTTCTTTAAAAAATCTCAGTTTGGGGCGTGCTTGCAATGATTTCGTGTGTCAATAAATTCTGGAAGCACTGGGTTAAGGACTATAATCAGGGTCCTTCCCTGCAGGACTTATCAGAGCCTTCAATGGCTAGTGCTCCCCGCGACTCAGAAGAGGTCCAGCAGGCAGCAGTTTTCAAGCCTGAGTGCGTGTGGAGCGGGCTTTCTCAAAGGGCGTGGCAGAGCGCACGTGTGTCCGCAGAGTAAGTCAGAAACGTGTGCTGGTGTGGCCGTGGGTGGCTGGTGATGAGCCAAGCCTGGGGCTTCTGTCTATGGCCCGTGCCCTGAATGGCCCTCACGGAGCCAGGTGCATCCACACCCGAGGGTCACACCCGAGGGTCAGCACAGGGTGCGCGCTACGTCCCCCTTCCCGTTACACAGAGGAGCAGGGTGACTCCGATGGCCTCTCAGGGTCCCTCCAGCCCGGTTTGCAGGAAAGTGGTGGGAAAATCTGGTCGGGGAACGAACCGCGTGCTGGAGGCAGGCCTGGGTTCGAATCCCACCTCTGCCATGTAGGTATTAAGCATGAGCTCCTTGGCAACAACCTCACCCCCTGACCTTTAGACCCCGCATCTGTTATGTGCAAGGTTCATCTCAGAGCTTTGCCCAAAGGACAGAGAGCACTGTGAAAACACTCGCCCAGTGTGAGTGAGTCGTTCCCTCAGCTGATAGACTTTGTTCCCTGGGACTTTTCTTTCTGTGCAGCTCCCTCCAGCCTTTGGGGCCTCAGGGCCTTTGCATGTGCTTCCCTTTCTGCCTGGAATCCACTCTCCTGGTCCATCTTTGAACTGCAAGGTAGGGAGGGGCTCGGATTCAAACAGCAATGCTTGGTCAGTTATGAGAGGTGGGCGTCTGCATGTCTGTACTCCCGAGGCCCACAGGGTGCAAGTCTTGAAATCTGTGCTTGTCCTGCCTCAAGGGCACAAGCAAGCTGTTGCTCCACACACCCACCGGCAAGGCCCCTTCCACGATGTCCATCAGCCCTGGGCAGGGACGGTGTGACAGGAAGTTGCCAGTCACAGATCAGGGCCACCGGCCTAGTGCGGGCTCCAGCGGAGGTCCCCTCAGCAAAGAGCAGACAGACTCGCACGGGCCACTGACCTCCTCAGTCTTGAGCACCGGGCCCTGCTTGTTGCCTTGAGTGCCGTCACACCGGCAGGCCGGCAGGGGGTGGCCTCTCTTCCCTGGGCCGAGCAGACCTCCTTACATTGCTCCCCGTGCCAGCCCAGAGCCTCCCTGGACAGTGGGACCCTGTCCGTGTCGTGGGAGAGCTCCACACCTGCCACAGGCTGGTCACGCGTGGCCTTCTGTTGTGTGGGACACGGCAGTTTGTGCATAGTTCATCGAGGGGCGCAGTGGGGACAGAGCTGGAAAGTGGGTCCCAGTGTGTGCAAAGGCCCTGAGGTATTCCACATTGGCCATGTCTTTCAGCGGAAGGCTTTGGAGTTGAAGGCACATAGACACATGGTGTTCAAGGGACAGAGCCTCTTCGGGGATGACCACTCTGTGCAGGTCCTGAGCCATCACTGGGCCGACCCGTTTGACTTTTCCAAGCCGGAAACTGAGGTCAGAGCAGGGGAACAGCCACGGTCACACAGCAAAAGTGGCAAACTCAGCAGAGATCCAAGGCTGACCAAGAATAGCCCTGGCAAGGAGGAGGCATTTATAGGACGCCTGTGACGTGCCACACTCTGCTCCGCCTCACCGCGGCCTGCCGCTCTGAGGGCTGAGCAGCCTGCTGGTCCTGCCAGTGCGGGGTCAGGGTCAGGCCCTGCCATGCGTCCACACCCCACCTCTCCACCGGCTTGGAGGCCTTGCAGCCTCCCGGGTCTGACGTGTGCAGGCCCCAGTGCACGGACCGCGACCACGTGGGCTTCCTGCTGGGCAGAGTGGTGGGACTGGGAGGCCTCTCCAGACAGCGTCACCGGCACCAGGCAGCCCCACACCTCTGATGCCCCCGAGCTCTCTGTGCCCGGCACCAGGGCACACCCCGCCACAGCACAGCGCTCTGGAGAAGGCGTTCTGCCCTGTTCCTGCCGCCTAGAGGGTCCAGGGCGGGGCTGTGTGTGCAGAATCCTGTGGAGCCCAACACGTGGGGGTCAGGCCTGTGCTCCCCCCTGGGACTGCCCCTGCTCTGTCCAATGCAGACGACTTCCTGTAAGTCTCTGGGCAGTGACTTGCCTTCTGCATTTTGTTCTTGAAAATAAAAATGCTGGGGAGACCCTTGCTCCACTGCCCCCGCCATGGGGGCTGTGAGCTTTGTGCCACCGTTAATCTCTGTGCACCCAGTGCTGCGATCTGTTTCCGTGCGTGTGTGTGCGTGTGTGCATGTGTGTGTGCACGTGCGCACGTGTGTGTGCACGCGTGTGCATGTGCGTGTGCACACATGTGCATGTGTGTGCACACGTGTGCATGTGTGTGCGTGCGTGTGTGTGTGTGTGTGTGTGTGAATACTCAAACGGGGATGGAATCCCGTGTGTGTCCCCCTTAGAGAGGTCACTGGAAGGGGCCGGCAAAGCCGTCCATCCCTATCTCCTCTTTGAGCTCTCCGCCTCCTGACACAGGGGCCAGCAGTTGCAGGTCCTAATGAAATGTTTGTTGAATGAATGAGTGAAGGTAAATTGTTACAGTTTAGACCTAGAAGGTACCCCAGGGATCTCATGTGTTCAGAAGTGCAGCTTGCGGAAGGTGATTTGATCAAGGGGTGCTCTAGATGAGTTACTGTTAGGAAGTGAAGTGTGGTTGGACCTTGGTCACGCATGGCATGACCTGGAGGGTTTCATACTTTCCCCCAGCTCCTCTCCTCTCTCTGCTACCCGGCTACCACGGCACCAGCCGCTGTCTTCCAACTGACCCTTCAATCATAATTTTCCTGCCTTGGAGCCAGTCAAAGATGGACCGAATCAACTCAAAACTCTGAACCACAGCAAGCTTCCCTTCCTCTCAGTTGTGGGTGTTGAGTATTTTGTCCAAGCAATGAGAAAAGTGACTAAGACTGATTTTGGTTCCAGGCGTGGGGTCACTGCTATGGTTTAGAAGCTGCCTTAGTCATTGCTGGGACAAAATACCCTGACACCCAGTGGTGAAGGGGGACAGGTCTATGTGGCTTACAGTTTGTAGAGGCTGCACTTCGTCAGTGGCTGGCTCCGAGGCAGGGTAACAGAGGGGCAACAATTCCTGGTGGACAGATGTTAGCAAAGCAACAGGAGAGCTTAACAGCATCTTTCTGCCCCTTCTATCTTTTTTTGGTACCGGGGATCGAACTCGGGACCTTGCGATGGTGAGGCAGGCACTGGAACCCCTGAGCTAAATCCCCGGCCTGGCCTGTCTGCCTCCTGTATCTCAGTCAGACTAGTAGGACAGGTAGCACTCTCGCCCTTAATCCTAGTACCCTCAGGCCTAGCACCGCAGTATGAATCAATCACACCTTCTAGATCCAGCCATCTGAAAAAGCCACTCCTGACTGCTCGAGGCTTTGGAGGGACATCTAGGCCTAAACCACAACAGAAGCCCTTGGAACTGACTCACAGAGGGAGTTTGGAAAGGTTTGGAGATACTGATGGGCTAGAGAAAGCTTCGAACGCTATCATCAGGGCTCCATGGAAGATTCTGGTCTGAGCACAGAAGGTCAGAATGCTGATAAAGCTCAGGAAGTTTCATTTGGAAACGAGGACTCTATTAGCAGTTGAATTTGAAGCCATGAATGTTATGCTCTGGCAGAAAATTTGTCTCTACCTCGCCCATACCCTGAGATTACTTTTAGAGAGACTGACACTAATGGCAGTGGATTAATTCATCTGGTGGGGAAAATTTCAAGGCAGCCCAGTGTCCAGGCTGTGGCATGAGTTCTGCTGGTGGCTTTCGGCCAGGTCTACAATGAGAATGAGGAATGAAAAGCTGACGTGGACGATTTTCAGCTCCACCAGAAAAGAAGCACCTGCAAATTCGGAGCTAAGGAGAGCATGGTTGCTAAAATGATTTGCACTCGGCAGGACCCCACCCTTCACTGGCTCAGGGACCTAAACGGGTGAAGGCAAATGCCTTTGAAAGATTTTGCTTTGAGAAGAGAGCCCCTGAGCTCCCTGCTGAAGAGTGCTGCCTGGGGAATTGGTTTCCTGGGATTTAGTTACAGTGCTGGACGTCCAGACACTCAGTGGCCTCTGCTGTCAGAGCCCAAGGGGGCCTGACTATGGCTTGATCTGATGGCAAATCTTGGCATCATCCACAGGGCGCTGGTTTCACAGGCACACAAATATAAGAGCTGTGGGAAGCGTCCTCCTGCATTTCAAAGGAAGGCCTGGGGAGCCAGGCAGTGTTGTGCTGAGGGCTGTGAAAGTGACTCCAAACTGGTAGTGGAGACATCAGGAGGTTGGAGATGCCAGGAACACGGAATGTCTGCCGAGGAAAGGTACAGGTGCCACCCTCAAAGGAGGGCTGTGAGGGCAGCAGCTGGCAATACTATCTGCACAGAGCCACCCAGTCCACTTGGAGCGCCTGGCTCATTGCAGTCTCCCCCGGGTGCTGGACGTGGAGCTATAGAATTTAATCTTTGGCCTGGTGGAGTCTGGTCTTGTTTTGGTCTGATTCCTTTCTATTTCCCTGCTTCTCCCTTTTAAAATGGGTGTGTGTACTGTGTCTGCCACGTGCCATTGTACGTTTCTCTTTTTAACTTTATAGGGGCTCACTGTGAAGAACTTGCCTTGAGCCTCGGAAGAGGCTCTGGACTTGGGCTTTTCAGGATTGCTGGAACTATCAGGACTTGGACAAATCTTACACCAAAGGCCTTTTGCTTAAGGAGATGCACATGTGTTCTTTGGGATCCGGAGGCAGAGTGTTATTGTTTAGCTCTAGGTGTCCCCACAAAGCTTCCTGTGTTTAGGGGTGGGGCGTGGGAGGATCACTGGGGTACTACAGCTGACTCACTGTTAGCAAGCAGAGCCTGGTTGGAGATGGGTCCCTGGGGACTGAGCTGGAAGGGTGTGTTTTTGTCTTCTCTTTCTCAGTGTTTCCTGGCCATCATGATGCAAGTGGCGGTCCTTCAACTGACCCTTCCACCGTGCCTCTCGTGGCGTGGACCCAGCCAGCTTTGGACAGAATCTCTGATGGTGGGGAGCCAAAGGGATTCTCTCCTTTAAGTTGTAGGTGTTGGGTGTTTTCTCCCCGCGATGGAGAAGTGACTGTGCAGGCCTGGGTGTGGGTGCGAGTGTGTGCTCACGAGTATGTACAGGATGATGTGAGTCTGCACAGGTAGGTGTGTGGCACGGACTTGCACATGGGCCTCAAGGTGTGACGGGACCAGGCCATGCCCTGTGCGTGCTGGCAGACTCAAACTGTCACGTGAATTTGTACCTGCAGGTGTGCATCTATGCAACCCTCGCACGAGGCCCAGGGAAGCTCTCCTCACTTAGGTGTGAGCTGGTGTGAGTCACTCAGGAGGTCAGAGGAAGCGTGGACGGAGGACGGGGGGCTTCACACTGAGCTGCATCCCCAGCCCTTTCTAAATGTTTGTTTGGAGATGGGATCTTGTTGAGTGTCCTGGGCCGGCCTCAAACTTGTAATGCCCCTGCCTCGATCTCATAGGCTGCTGAGATTTCAAGTGTGTACCACTATACCTAGATACAGGTTGTTTTTAAATCCCTGTGCGCTATGAGGGTTTGGTGGCTGAGGCCCTGAAGATTCCAGGCTAGAAGCTAAGTGTGTGGGTCTGCCTCACCCATCCATCCTCCCTTCCTCCCGTCCATCCATCCGTCAACAAATCTTAATTGGGCCCCGTACACACCCGACAAGACTGCTGGGTGAGCAGTGTTAAAGAAGACAAAGTCCATATACTCATGTCTCTCCTAGGCTGATGGAAGTGTCAGGAGCAAACTAGGTTTCTGCATCATTCATAATTCCAGCTACCCAAGGGGCCTGACAGTGCCTCATGTGGGGAAGGGGAAGGTAAGGTCAGAGTTGACCGGGAGAAGTTTCCTGCTGCATGGTACTTCAACTGGGTGAACTGGTTGTCAGGAGGTGAGAGGAGGGAAACCACTGTAGCCATTGGGGACAGCATATACCAAGGGCCTGTGGTCAATGGGATCTTGCTGAGTGAGCCCCCAGAGGCAGAAATTCCACTGTGGGTAGAGGGTAGGACAGAGAGGCAGAGTGGATTAGGGGGACTGGTAAGGGTTCATCCTTGTGCCTTTATTTCAAGATTCCAGAACCCCTGGAGGGATGAGACAGGCTCAGATGCAGGTTTCTGAGAACTCCCTCTGAGTGCCCCAAACTAGGGGTGGACAGTGGCCTCAGAATGGGGGACGCACCTAGCTGGCACCTCAGGGCCCATCTGTTTTGCCAGGCCATCTGGGGGTGGGGCAGGCTGCAGCCAGGGCAGGCTTTTGGGGGGCAGGGAAACCGTGGGCTCATTTACATGATCCCAGCTTAATTCTCCCAGGGTTCGCAAATATATGCAAACCGCAATCCAGAGAGGCAAAAATAGCAGGGCACATTAGCATCCCCAGGGGAATGTTGTTTTGTGCAACCGCCGCTGCTGGGGCCCTAGGAGAGCGGAGAGGGGGCCCTGCTGGCTTCCTGGATTCTGAGGAGTTGGCCTTCCGGCCAGGCCCGGGCGGGAAGGGGCGGCTGCAGGGTTTGGGGGACCCGGGATGGGTCCCCAGGGCAGCAGGACCTGGTGGCACTGCCGCCTCCCAGCTCCCCTC